ATCATATAATTTCTTTACAAGTAATGAAACTATTCAATCTTTTTTCCTGTGTAAATATGTTAGCACCAACAAAAAAGATATTTACTTTTATTTATTTATTTGTAACCCATTTTGAGAGTTTTATTCAATGAAATTTATTTTATATCAGAAAATGGAACATTAAATTTTTTTTCAGCAATCGCATCGTACTCCGATTTCATTTAATGCACATTGTAGACTAACACAAAAGGCTTCCGTTATCGAAATAAGTCCAACATTCTATTTTAGAATCATAATGTATTTCTGCTGTTATTAGAATGCTCGGAGAGAATTTGAACAGTTGAAATCTATATACGGAATTTAACATTATGAAAGTGAGTGATTTCTGTATTCATTTTTAATTATTTTAAATCTATTTTTATAACTTTAAAAAACGTGAAAAATATTTATATACTTTGTATTTTGTATATAAAATCTATTAGTTGAAGTAAAAAGATTTCTAATTGAACTGACGAGTAAACTGTTGCGCGTTACTTAAGGGTTAAAACGCATAAGTTTTGCGTAAAAGGGGTAAAAAACGTAAAACTTATCTTACGCAAAACTTAACGCAGAACTAAACGCAAAACTTAACTTTCTCAATGGGCTTCAAACTGAGAGCCATAAAAAATAGGATTGAGTGATAAAAAAATTAGTTTCTTTTCCTGGGCCGGTGTATTATTCTAGGTTGCGGGTGTTCGATTACACCGGGTAACTCGTATAGTAAATGGCGACTGGTGCACGTTAAATCTGTCGAGTCACAAAGTCTTCCATGCTCCCATAACAAGCTATACCTCTGGGTGTTAATAATATTTCTCAATGTTAATAATAATAATTTCTAAAACTCAACAGATGGTGCTCTGCGCAGTAATGTAAAATCATTGTAATCAGTTTCCTCTATAACACTGTATCGTGAACATCTTCCATGCTTTTGTTATTAAATATATTATGTTAAAGGGGTTTGTACTGATTGGAAATCCCGAGATCATCGTATTTAACACTGGGGATTTTGAATTGGAGATTGATCATTCTCTGGTTCAGATCAAAATTACGATCTGTGGATGAATGAATGGATGTAGGAATGAGTCTGCCCTTTAAACGTTTGTGGCAGAAGTTGAATGCAGTACTTAGCCATAGATGGCGCCACTGGAAAACATGAAAAAACTCACCCCCTCTGGCCGACAACAACAATATGTAAGTCAGTATGTAAGTCAATATGTAATGATATTTTACATATTGACTGGCAGTCAATATGTAAATTTTTCATAATTTTTTTGCTCCTATTGTTACGTTATTATGATTTCCCTCTTTTTATTTGTTCTAAATTTCCTATTGTTGATTGCAAAAAGATTTCAATTTCTTATCAGGTATGCCTGATTATAATCATCCTGGCCTGCACATTAATCGCCTTTTTCATCTATTCGAAATTGGAACTAAGCACATTTTCACTGTATTCGATATGGCGAAATGGCGGTGATAACGATCAAGCAGTCAACTTTATCAGGTGATCAAAATTTCCATTTTATTATTTCATTTTATAATAACTGTTTTATAACTTTTATCTATAAATAAACCAAAATAAATGAAACAGGTTAAATTTAAAGTTAGGGTAATTAAAGACATCCACAAAATATATTTTGTTTTAATTATTGGATTTTGCGTACTGACAATAAATATCAAACCTAATGATTCTAAAGTCGGACCCAAATTAACTAATAATTTAGTTCTACCTAATAATTTAATGATGAAATTATTTTAAGATGATATAGCGGAAGATATGACATATATTCTAGCAGAAGGCAAACAAATCGTTGTCCTTCTCGACGTCTAAAGGGCAATTTGGCGTCTCAATGTACCCGATTTTCCTATTCTCCACAGCTTTCCTCTCTCCGTTACCATGGTTTCCATAAATCTTGCTTTTTTTCCCCAAGCCAGTATATTCCAGCTTCTTACTGAAATATACAGTCGTTTGGGAGATCAGGATTTACTGATACTATGATAATGGAAAAAGGAAAAATGTAGAAAGTGCAGAAATTGCGTTACCTTGCTACACCTATTCTATTTACAAAGAGTGAAGTTTAGATATTTTAGCATTTTACTTTCCCCTTATTTGAATACAAACTTGCAACTCTCGATGAGTGTAGTTGCTTCTTTTTATTTTTTTACTAGGATTATAATTATCTGATGACATCCTGTAACTAGTTAAGTAGCGAAATATGCTTAAAAAATTTATTTAGTTTTAGTTATATTATTGGTAAGAGAGTAGTTTTGAAATAGTACTCTCTTTTATAGCAATGTTAATTTTAGATGATTTTATAATCCTCTCCGTTTAATCCATTGCGATTTTCCACTTTGAAATAAAGGTACGTTTCCTATAAGAATACACTTTTTTAATTGTGGGCTTTTCTTATATAAATAAATTATAACAGGAGTAATAATGAGGCCTAACATCTTTTTGTTTTAGTGTAAGCGATTTTAGGTACTGAAAATATTTTAGAAATGCCGTTGACAATCAAATGTGCATAACAATATAAATATGAACTTTTTCAATTATTAGTTTATCTTTTACAGGGATCATCCACAGAAATTATCTTCAGGTATGAAATATTTTCCCCCTCTTTTTCTATTGTCGAAAATTTTTAAAAGGAAATTGCATGATTTTTTTTTCATAGCACATATTGTAATATTTTTTTTATATATCACCCAAAGCTTTTTCGTAATCCGAAACCAAAATTCTTGATGGTCCCATCCACAAATTTGATGGTTTATTTTGGTTTCAGTGCCATTTGTGATGGTCCAACATCATTTGATGGTCGCCATCATCCAACATTTTTCATTATGGGTTCATCCTTTTTGATATTCCAACAAACTGCCATCATTACATGATGGAAAATGCTACTTAAATACTATGAGGGTTAACCATCAGGAGAAGTTTGATTCTCATGGACCAACAATCTATGATGGTTTAGTAAGAATTCTTGTTGGTTTTCAGGAATATACCATCAAAACAATTTAGTTTTTTTCTAATGTTAGACCATCACAAATCAGTCCAAATTCCTACATTGGGGTGATGGTGGTTCATGATCGCTCAAGCATTTGATTTCTAAGATATTATGATAGTAATTCGTGATGGTCCATAATGATACAACAATGCATTTCCATGATGGTTTAATAATAATTCTTGGTGGCTCAATAGGAATATACCATCAACACAATTTGTTTTTGTTTTTTATGCTAGCCCATCATAAATCAGTCCGAATTCCTACATTGGAGTGATGGTGGTTCATGAGTATTCCTACATTTGATTTCTAAGAAACTATGGTAGAAATTTCTAATGGTTCAGCATGAACAAACCATCAAAACAAGTTGCTATTCTTATATTGGACCATCATAAATCAGTCCGATTTCATACATTTGGGTTATGATAACTTATGTTGGTTACCATCAAAAAATACAATGGTTCATGGTGGAATTATTGATGGTTACCATTACGATTATGTTGGACCATCAATGGAAAACCATTGAAAATTTTGACTTGGGATTGCGAGGGGCAAAATAATTCAGTAAATTAGTTGACTTATACAAGTGAAGTAAATCAGAATTATACCTTACAATCTAACAATTAAGCATCCCGTAAGTAGGTTCTGCGTTGTTACTTCAGAATAAGAACAATTTAAGTTCAGACAGAGCTTACGCTAAACACGCACTTGAGCATGCGGGATGGTACGTATAAGTACGAAATTTAAGAATAAACTGATTGATAAACTGGTGACTTTAATATTGCATACAAAGAGTTCAACTATTTCATATTATCGAAAGTGTTGTCATTTCTTATTTATTTCCTGATTTGTTCTTCGTATTACAAAAGCATTATCCTTCCGTTTTTCATATTAAGCAGCATATGTATCATGCATAAATATTCATTTCTTTTTTTTTTCTTTTTGAAAGAGATTACTATTTTGTACTTTATTTAATTTTTGTCATAAGAATAATCCCACTACTCCGCATTATAATTTACGTTGGACCATGATAGCCAGATTTTTTTAATTATTTTATAAACATCGATGAACAGCTGACCCAATTTAATGCGTTTACAACTCCTAATGTTCAACTCAGTAGCCTTGTAATTTTGCACCCAATCCAAAAGACAAGGGAACTCCTGGATCGAGTATTGGGAGAAATGTTGCCTTCGCGGAGGACTTTTTGATTGAAATAACCCGCATTTGTGCTACATGGATAGGAAGACCACGAGAGCCTCCCACGGTTAACCTGACGACAAGGGGACTCTAACCCATGATTCGTCTACCACTGAGGATATTTCACATCAGCACTGTGGCCGGTGCACGCTGGATGTGGAATTCGTATCGAATGGGATTCGAACCCGGTTCACCTCATTGGAAGGCGAATGCTCTATCTCATGAGCTCTAGGATAGCCTGGTTGGCAGGGCGCTGGATTCAGATTCACGAGAACCGGAGTTTGAATCCAGTCGGCCAAAGACTCCTCGTGTAGTAAATGGTGACTGGCGCACATACATCCACAGATCGTAATTTTGACCAGAACCAGAGAACGATCAATATTCAATTCAGAACCCCAGAGGTATACTTTGTTGAAGGAGCTTGAAGGACTTTGTGACCCGACAGATTTAACGTGCATCAGTCACCATTTACTACACGGGGAGTTTTCAGCCGGATGAATTTGAACTCATGTTCACACGAACATGAGCCCAGCGCCCTGCCAACCAGGATTTATAATGGTTAATTTCGCAAATATTTGAGGATAGATATCGGAGTCCTATCACTCTCCGCTAGAATACCCTTGAAACAGAACCAAATTTCATTAAAATTTATCTTGTCGTAGTTCAGGCGATAGATGACAAAATACGAATATTCTCTTAATTTTGGACATCAGTGTATTGTGTAATTCTTAATTATTTACAAAGAGAGTGCATTTATATCGAATTAAAATAAGTTGTTTTCTGCATTCCATGAGAGCAGCAGGTTGCGCTAGACGCAGACCGTCATCTCTTGTGGAACAGAATAGGAGACACATTTCGAACACGGTGAAGGATCAGTGGTTGTTCTTGAGGAGTCAGATTCGCCTAATTCAACGACTCCTCCTCAATGTTTCCATGGAATCTGACATTCAAGAGAAATATGAAAATTCTCTTCACCTCATGATTGCACATGGATCTGAATATGCTAGGTAATGCTGTGTCTCTTCTCTTGAATTTGGTATCTCATATAATTTAGTAAGAATTTATAATTAGTATGCATAATTTAATAATTTGCAACTTGCACTTCAAGAAGACCTCCCATGCACATACACATGTGACCTATGACGTATGCACCAGCTACTCTTTATCAGCAAAATGGCGGATTAAAGTTTAGCTAAGTTTCCTTACATAAGTTAGAATGCTAATTCACGATAAGTTAATTAAATATAATGTCGAATTTGTACATCGAATTTGTTGAAATATAATTCTCTCTCGTCTATGTTCTTTACGTTACTTAAATTGATTATTTTTTGATGTATTTTATTGCAATCGTCATATACATTTGCTTCGTGTACCTGGCATCATCGGTGCATAATTAGCTTGTTTATTTTCTACATGGCTTCATGGGGCCAGCTAATCTGTATCAGCAAAATGGCGGATTAAAGTTTAGCTAAGTTTCTCTACATTAGTTAGAATGTTAACAAACGATAAGTTTATTAACTACAGAGACGTATCGCGCATCGAATTAGTTGAAATATAACTCTTTCTTCTTTTACTTAACTTAGATTTATTATTTATTTATATATTTTATTGTAACCGTGATATATTTTTGTCTTGTGAACCTGGCAACTTCGATGCATAAATAATTTGTTTATGTTCCACGTGGCTTCGTGCCTGTCTTTGTGTTAAGTCTTTGTGTAAATATAAAGTGAAAAAGAATTGAAATATTTGTGAAAGAATTTCTGTGTAGGAATATAGAATGTGTCACTTAGGAGGATGGATACTTGAACGGCTTGGCTTTCTCGAAATTGAATGGAAGGAACAGTTGCTAGCATAAACAAATGTCCCGTTTCAACAACCAATCAGGATTGAAAACCCACACTACGTCACTTGCAGGCATCCCATTGTAATTTAACTGTAGTAACAGGTACTTAATAACCTAGTATGGTACCTAATACCATGGTAACAGGTATTTACAGCCCCCAAAATGGATAATTACCGAATTTATGTACGAAAAAGTTTGAAAATGCTATTTACTTAAGCCCTTTCTATTGAGAGAATTTTCTTTTAAAACTATTGCAGTTGTTAATACTTCAAGAAGAACTTTTTTTTTGGCTAATAATACAGTAACAATAGAGATAAACCTTTTATAAATGATAATATTTGAAAAATATGCTGTTATAAAAATCCTCAAGAAAAATTTTCTGCCAATAAAAGATTTATTTATATCCCAATAGTTTATACTTATTCACTTACTAATAATGAAGTTAAAAAAGATTTAGATTTGCCATACAATTGTAAGAATACTTTTTATTTTTAATCTTGTATAATTTTGGATTTTGATAGTTTGTTAACATTGTACATAGCGGTAAATAAAATATAATTTGAGAAATGGGGACTTGGTCATAATGGGTTTAGGAAGATATCCCAAGTTTTGAAATCAATTAAATTCGAGGCTGATATAAATCAGTATAGACTATCGTAACGACTAGTTGAAATGCTATTGTAACTGCTTTGCAGCTCTCTTTATTATTAACCCCTTGAGATATCATTTCTTGATATAGAAATGATCTTTGATTGCACAGTAAACATCAAATCGCAACGGAATGTTGACAGAGATGCCAACTGCTTTGGGCACGCCAAAATAATTTTAAAAAAAACGGTAAATAACTACAAACTAAATTTTGCAAATATTTGACTATTTTTGCTTACTTTTTAAAAGGTATAGTATGACATACCTGAAAAGGTGGTGAATTATATAAACCTACGAATTGTTTAAAAATAGTGGTGGATAAAAAACTACTAAATTGAATTTATTAAAACAAGAATCACAATTAATAAACAACGACTTTAAAATATTTATTTGCTGCCCAGAGCAAGTTGGCATCTCTAAGTTGAAGACGTCTGAGACACGTCAATTATTGTTTTGGACATAAGAAACAAATGACGTCTCCCAGACGTCTTCGTACTTCAAGGGGTTAAGTATTCTTAAATGTTTAGTGATTGAGCAATCATAAAAATATCTGGAAGATAAATATCTTATAATCTTGTTTTTATTATCTTTTCACGTGAAATGTCGGATAAAATATTGACTTAGAAACTGCAATGAAGTAAATTTATCAAACTTCTTTCTAAAAAAAAAGAATAAAAATAGTAGCGTAGAATCCGATGGTAATGCGCAATGAAGAAGAAATACAAAACACTGTATGATTATTTCATAATTATTACTTATTTGTTTCAGGGTCTTGGATCTCGAAATTAATAAATTAACTAATCTAGACGGTTGGAATGAATGGAGGAAAAATGAATCAAGAAAATTGAAAAGAATTGTTCGAAATAGGATTCACACTCTTCAAGTAATAAGCATAATATAATTTTGGTTAATAACATTTTGATGATAAAAGTAACGCAATAAATCGTAGCACAAGTTCGCACTATCATCATTCTGTATTCAAATGTAATGGATAAGGTTTAAAATTTTCTTAGTGCACTTTAGCATCCAAATAGAGTCTCTGTGCTGCCATCTAGTGTGGCAGAAACTAGACGTTCAAATTAGCATGACCAGCGGTATCTCACCCATTGTGGTGGTCCTGAAAGAGTGGATACCACTTCTGGAGAACGCACTAGGTGTGCTCATCGGGAAGACTGATTGTGCAGCTCATAGGAAATAAAAAGAAAAAAAAAGTTTAAAATTATAGTTTTAAGTAAAACTGTCAAGTCAAACTCTAATTTCCTTGTGTTAATTTTAATAACCGGCTGAACAATTTAATAAGGCAACTATTTAACGATACGTTTCTCAATAATTTTGCCTGTTATGTGTTTTAATGCATGCATTACATAGAAAGAATTGTCAGTTTGTATCTGTTGCATTAAATTCTGTTACGCAATTGTCCTCTAACGCTCTCTATTAAAAAACTTCAATTTAAAAAAATAATTAAAGTTATTTTCTTATATCAAAAACAAAAGGGAACCTTATTGATTTACAAGTGTAAAAATCGCACAGGTCAGACGGAACCCCCCCCCCCAAAAAAATAATATTCTCTTAAAATAGATTGTAAACATTTGCTACACAGTTTCTTACTTGCGGGATTTTATTTTATTATATAACCGTCATTGAACAGCTAATTCAATTTTGAGTTTACGATTATCAGTGTTTAACTCCGTAGCCTAGCAATTTTGAATCTGATCCAGAAGACAAGGGAACTCCTGAATAAAGTATCGGGAAAAATTTGCCTTCGTGTAGGACTTTTCGATGGGACTAACCCGCATTAGCGTTACACGAGAAGGAAAACCATCCACGGTTAATCAGATGGCAAGGGGACTTTAACCCATGATTTTTCTACTACTGAGGATATTTTATGTGGCCCGTGATAACCTGGAGCGAAATTCTCCTCGAATCGACCAGTCATCGCTGAGATTCGAGATCGGGTGATTGATATAATGACGCTCACACGCGTGATTTGATTTTATTTTATAACCGTCGCTATATAACCGACCCAATTTTGGGTTTAAGATTACTAATGTTCTACTCCGTAGACTTGTAATTTTGAACCCAATCCAGAAGACGAGGGAACGACTGGATCAGTATCCCCAGAGGTATGATTGCACACGCGTGATTGATATGACAACACTTACGATTACACCAAGTTGTATTTTTTGTCATTTTTGTCCTAATACCTTGTACTTGACATGATTATTTACATGGATTTGAATGCGCATGTCCAAAGTGCGAGAGCAATGATGAAATAAAATAAAAAATTCTTAACTATTTTAAATATAATTCTTGTAACACAAGGATAATGCACAACACGTAATGAAAGGAGTTTCTTAACTGTTTCGTTTTCTATGTAAATATTTGCCTCAACTTGTGTTGATATTCGAAACCAGGTAAGGGGCAATACCGGTTCTGTTAAGTAATGAACTTGCTTGTGAACAAACTTCACAACAAATATTGGTTGTAAACAAACTTCACAACCAATATTTGTTTAGATTTGGAATCAAGTTGTGGCAAATATTTACGTTTTGATTATAAGCACGGTTAACAGTTAACTTCACTACATCACAAGTTGCCTATTGTTCTAACAGAATCCAAAGAACTGCAGTTCTGTTCCCGTGTTGGCGTGTAATTTAACCAATCCGTCTGGATTTGCATCTGGAGCTCATGACGTCCTCTGGTGTTTCATCAAAGCGTTCAAAGAGAAAAAAAGATTGGTACTGCATTCCTCACATTGGCATTATGCTGCACCCGGAGGATGGGAAACTCTGTTCAAACCACTGAGTGATTCATGTCCCTCACACTCAACAACAGCAGAATCGACAGTGAACCTCAAGAACGGTAACTTCTTTAAATCATTAATTTTTTGTTTAGTTCATTTTTATGACAACAATTGTTTACTATTGCATGGCTATTTGTTAATACCGCGTTTATTGCATTGAAAATTTGAGTGAGTACTAAACTATTATACTTAGTAATAGCGTGAATTGTAGCTAATTGCGGGAACATGAAGCAAAAACTGACGTTTTGAAGATTTTTTAGCGACATTTGATGAGAATTTATATATATNTTTGTATATATATATATATATATATATATATATATGTTTGCAAAGATCAGGGTTTTTCAATTGGGTATTTGCACTTCAAGAAGAGAAACATAGCCGATACCCAAAAGACTATGCTTCGTGTCTGGCTTTGAGATAGGTACGTAATATATATATAGTGAAAGAATTGAAATCTTTTTGAAAGAATCTTTGTGTAAGAATATAGAATGTATCACTTAAAAGAATTGATACATGACGGAATTGGCTTACTTGAAATAGAATGGAAAAAACAGTTCTTAACGTTAACAAGTGTCACGTTTCAACAACCAATCAGGATCGAGATACCCACACTACGTCACTTGCAAGTATCCCATTGCCTACGTTGCATATACATGTGTTCTAAATTAGACTGACAGTTTTCACAAATTTAAAACAGAAGAACGGTTACAGTTAAAAAGAAAAAAAATTCTTGCAGCTGATTCATGTGACAGACATTAATATTTTTCCCCAAAGCTCCAGATTTTAATTTTAAAATTTCTCGTTATAGAGCCGTGAGGGTTATGAATTTATAATAAAAAGAAAAATCATTAAAAATCAAGTTACAAAACGGGATTTTCAATAATTTATCTTTTATTAACTCGTTTATATTACAAACAGTTTCTGTCGACAAAATTTTGAATTAAACTCAGAAACTTCTGGGAAGAAAATGTTTTTTCTTATCACATGAATTACCGACAAAAATTATTATTTTTACCTTAATTCTTTCTCTAAAAATTTCTGCTTGTATTTTAATTTTATCTTTTTTAATAACCTTAACTTTTTTCTAATAAATTCTGAAAGACACCTGTCTTATTTAAGACAACCGGTAAACACCCACGGAATGCTCTGTCCTGACAAAGGATAAATTATAATAAACATTATATAAACAAACAATTTGACATTATAAAACCTATTTTTACTGGCTGAACTTTACCAACCTTTTATCAACTTAATTACTTCTTCATTTTCTAACTGTTTCTTGAAACCTATTTTTTTTTATTTTATCCCATTGTTTACAATTGCTGTTTTTGAACTGTTAGCTTGTTTTTTGTGCTCAACCCATGTTTTCTTTTCCTCTTTTTAAATCAATCTGCCTTTAATTTGCTTTGAGATTTTAAACAAATACAGGCCATGTATCAGTTTTTTTTCTTCCGTACAACCATTTTTATTCCATGCTGACCTTTAACCATTTTCTCTTTATCTTATGTTTCTGTAATTTTATTGCGAGTTCTTTTCTCTTAGTTCAACTTTTCTATCTTTAATTAATTTTCGAAAATCAAATCAGTTAAAATATAATAATAAAAACCAAAAAAAAAACAAAAAAAAGAAAAGTAAAGAAAAAATAAATGAAATTTTTTTTAAAAATTGCCAAAACCTTTTTTAAGGGTTTTTTTTAATTGTTAAATTTCATTTTGATGAATAGCGATTTGTTTTAAACCTCTCAAATTCTGAATCATTTTAATTTTTTCAACGCTATAGAAAGACTGGATCTTATACTCTGACACTGGATCTAGCTCCCTTACTTTGGCAGCCCAACGACCGGCGCGAAATTGAGCACTTTACGGTAGAACAGTTTAACGAGGACCAATAACGCACACCCTCGGTCCCTTCGTAGGCTGATCAAAGTGGTCACCTACCCGCTTACTGACCGCAGCTAGTGATGCTTGACTTCGGTGTTCTACCGAGAATCATATCATTACGATCAGTCAACTTGCGGGTCACCTGTTACAAATTGCCTGCCTACGAAAACGAACGCAGCTCGAAAGGCATTTTTAAAAAAATGGACACAACTCAAAATGCGTGTTTACGAAAACGGACTTTGCTCAAAATACGTGTTGTCAAAATGACTGAATCAAGTCAAAGTGAATGACAAATGAAGTTAAAATGACTTCCTTGGGCAATTTAGTGTTAATTAAATAAACGCAAAGTGTATTTCTTTCAGAAAAGGAGTCGCGTAATCAAGTACATAGTTTATACATAGAATTTGCTGCTCCTATAGGGTACTTGGTAGTGATCGAAATTCTGTCGATTCATTCGAGATGAAAGCTGAATACCTCGGTGAGTCGGTGAGCTTTCTATTCTGGATACAGCTCAAAATGCGTATTAAAGAAAATGGTTGGTAAGAATTTTATTTACGTCGCACTAGAGCTGCACAATGACGACTGTCTGGGAATACATCCCTCAAGATGATCCGAAGATGATCGCAATTTTGATCCTCTGCTAAGGGGATAGCTCCCCTACTTTGGCAGCCCAATGACCGGCGCGCGAAATCGAGCACTTTACGGTAGAACAGTTTAACGGGAACTGATACTTCCCAACGGAGACTGATCAAAGTGGTCACCCACCCGCTTACTGACCGCAACCAGTGATGTTTGACTTCGGTGTTCTACTGAGAACCATGTTTTTACGATCAGTCCACTTCGGGATTTAAGAAAATGGACACCTGTTACGAATTGCCTGTTTAAGAAAACGGATGCAGCTCATAATGCATGTTTTTAAAAATGGACGAAACTCAGAATGCGTGTTAACGAAAATGGACACAGCTCAAAATACCTGTTTACGAAAACGGATGCAGCACAAGGTGAAAATGCATATTTAAAAATATCAACACAGTTCAAAGTGCGTTTTTACGAAGATGAACTTAGCTCAAAATACATATTTAAGAAAATGGACACAGCAAAAAATGCGCCTTTTCAATGTTCATCCCTGGAACTAATGCATGTTTGGAACTGATGTATAAAATGCACCGAGTGATTTATACAAATGGACGATATAAAATTACGAATTTATTTGGGTTCATAAGTTTATTCTTTAAAAATAGAATAGTATTCATAAGAGCAGTTTAAAAAACAAAATCAAGTACTATGTCCATTTTTAAATAACTACATCCATTTTCTTAAACGCGCTACTCCAGGTGTGTCCATTTTAGTAAACATGCATTTTGAGCTGTGTCCTTCTTCATAAATACGCATTTTGAGCCGTGTCCAATTTTGTAGATACGCATTTTGAACTGAATCTAGAATAAAAAGCTGTGGGACGATTAGCTCAGTTTCGTTGACTAATGAAATTTGTAAGTTTTTTCTAATAATAGTCTTTCAACTTTCTTTTTTTTCTTCGGGCAATAAAACCGTTTTGATAGATTGTGTTTCTTAGTAATTATTCACTAGGTTTCGATGGTGTTTTTGGTTTTTCCTTCCAATAATATTAATTAGCAACCCTTAATGCGTAATATTTTTCTTATTTCATTTTTCACAAGGACTCTGGAACTCTATATTACAGGTACTGAATGCGGAACTATACTTCTGGAAAATAGTTTGGATTCCTTATTATGTTATTTACAGGATTTTTACCTAGTAAAACTGCCTTCATAAATTTTATAATTCAAGACTGAAAGCATAATTTCAACGTTTGTCGATCGAAGCTTTTAGAAATGGCTGGCAATTTGAATCCTAATGGAATTTGTACCAATTGCAGTGTTCAGAAATCAGACCGATCATTGCAATTCTGCAGACTTAAATCGATTAACTAAGTTCAAGAGATTAAAAAAAATGTATAGATTGTTCTAAAGAGTTTACTGATTGGTGTAAAAATTTGAAGTTTTAAATCACTGTTCTTCAGGGAAAAAAACCAAGATGTTAACCGCTTGCATCAATTGGTGCAAATTTTTTGTTGTTGATACAAATAACAACATTTTTTAAATATTTGCTCTTGAAATTTAAAAATGAAATTGTGATTCGTCACATAATGCTTCTTAAATAATTTATTTGTATTGACTTAAATAGGTTGTGGTGGAAATTCCGATTCTATAGCGATGACAGAGTTCCTCTTCTGTACTGTTCTGTAGTACTTCTTTTATAGAGATGACATAGTACTTCTTCTGTACTGTTCTGTAGACTTGTGCCCCAGTCATCTAATCCTGTACGACTTAATTAATCTTACGATGTTTGGGCGCGATATTCACACTGTATTACTGCTAAATAACTGCTCTAGCTTCGCTGCTAAAATGGAGTGGAGAGTTTTTCTTTTAAATATTTGTAGCATATTCTTTTTCAACTTATTAACTGTGGAGCTGTCACAATGACGCAGCGTTCTCTCATAAAACTCAGTTAAATGTTGAACCATAATATGCGTAATTTGGACCATCGTATGGTGCAAAGTTACTACAACTTTAATGCAATTTTACTACTACTTTAATGAGTTGTTTAATTCAACCAAATTTATGCTAAGGTTAAACCACAGGACAGAGTAATCATCTTCAAGAAGTATGATGATGTGGTTCAACCTAGCACCATAATAAGGCTGTGGAAAATTTAAGCGTTATTATAGTTCAACACGTTCTAAAATTTCTAACAGTGTAGTATCCAAACTCTTATCAGAAGTTTATTTAATTTAATCCTTTAACAAGAGTTCATTTAATTTAATTGTATGATAAATTGTATTACAACTAGTCCTTCTATTCCTATCAATACTTATTATACTCCTTTTAAATAGACGTCTCAATTTTACCTGGTTTTCCTACTCTCCACAACTTCCCCCTCTCCGTTACCATGGTTTCGATAAATCTTGCTTTTTCCTCAATACTTATTCCAACTTCTTACTGAAATGTACCGTCGTTTGGGAAAGCCTGGAACCCTGGTAACAAAGAGGGGAAAGGTGTGGAGAGTAGGGAAATCGGGTAATCTTGAGATATTTATTCTGTTTAAGAAGAATATAGTAAATTTTATCTTAAATAATAAAATGATAAATCTTATTCTTTTTTTTAAAAACAGACAATAAAGTTCGTTGGCTACTGCGCACTCTACCTGAAGATCTTGCTCCAAAAATGATATTTCTGTACGGTAATCCACTTGCTTGGTGGTATGGCCAGTTCTTAGCTTACCTTATGAGGCCAAATTTACACTTACAATTATCTATTGAAAATTTAGAAAGTATGATTAATTTTTCAAGTCCAATTGTAGGGTAAGTATAGAAAGAAAATTTATTAAAATGAAAACTTTTATTTTTATTTCTTAGTTCCATCGTTTGGCAAAATCGAAATAAGTTTGCCCTTAGAAAATATATCCAAAGTGTCCAATTTAAAATTTCTTTTATTCTATCCTTAAGTAGCGAATAATTTTAGCACAGTTAGGATTTTGAACGAAAACGTTTGAACTTTTTGAAACGAAAAGTAAAAAGAAGAAAAATTATATACAGTCTCTGGCCATTATTGGACGCACTATAACAAATATTCTGAGTAAAATCTTAATTATCAGCTGTTACTATACAATACTATTTGGCCAGGGACTGTAACCGAACTCGTGTCTTTTCCATAATTTATTTATTTTTCATCCTGAACATACACCTTTTAGTATATCTTATAAAAAAATAGTCACAAGTGTGCTTCAGGAAATATAGATCCATTTCTAGAATTTTTAACTTAATTATTAACATTGATTTATTAAAGAGTCATATATTATGTTTTAGAGTTCACGTTCGGCGGACCGATAAAGTTGGAACTGAAGCAAAATCGCACGATCTAGAAGAGTACATGGAACACGTTGAGAATTATTTTCTCAGTCTGGAACTGGAGACTTCACAGATCATCCAACGAAGAGTGTTTCTTGCCACTGATGATCCAAACGTGCTGACAGAATGCAGTAGAAAGTAATTGTTTCAATTATTCTAAATGTTAAATTTAAAAAAGAAAGCGATGAAAGTAAATATTTCACGTTTCAAAAATTCCTTCAAGAATTTTATGATTTTTTTCAATTTTCATTTACAGTTAATTATGATTGAAAAAGAAAACATTCATTTAACCACACATAAGAATGAAATCTGTAAATTAAAATTTGACCCTCAAATAAAAACTTGCATGTCTGCTAGCGTAAAAAATAAAAGCAATAGCAGCAAAGTTATAAAAGAAGGTAAGGAGTATATCGAAGATTGCATGTATTTGTAACCAGTTTACGTCTAAGCATTTTATATTTTATTCTATTTTATAACTGTTGTTGAACAGACAACCCAATTTTGAGTTTACGTCTATCATTGTTCAACTTCATAGCTTTGTAATTTGAAGCCCAATACAAAAGACTAGGGAACTCCTGGATGAAGTAGTGGGAAAAATCCGCCTTCGTGGAAGACTTTTCGAAGGAGCTAACCCGCATTTGCGTTGCATTCAGAGGAAAACCACGAAAAACTCCTACTGTTATCCTGACTGCAAGAGTACTCTAGCCCATGATCATTACCATTAAGGATATTTTACGTCAACACTGCGGTCGGTGCGAGCTGCATGCGGAATTCGAACGATCAGTCATCACTGGGATTCGAACTCGGTTAACCTCATTGGAAGGCGAGCTCTCTATCCCCTGAGCCATCACGACCCACTAGGTTTGAGCATTTAATTTGAATATAAAAGTCCCCTGCAGAATAGAAACATACAAAATAATACGTTTGTGGGGGAAAGGAGCTATCAACAATGTCAACCTTCATCTATGAAAAGGTACCCCAAAATAGAATCGAGCAAACATGTCTTGTATACTAGTGAATTGGAATTGTATTTTTGTAGCTGTAGGCACACTACAGTACTCCCCCACCAGAATTATATCTGTAATAAAATTCGATGAACGGATACCAATAGTTGATTCATTGCTGTTTTATGCGAAGCCGGGAGAGCTGTATTAAGACCACCGTGCTTGTGCTGGTCATGAGAGCTGTATTAAGTTCAATGTCGAGGTTGCTCCGTTTTGCCATTAGCAGTAGAGTGTATGCAGGCTGACGTTGTGCGTGATAGAGACTGAGTAGCAACACCTCGAGGAGGTGGATAATGTCGCAGTCACAAGTGGCAAGTCAATTTTTCAATGTGGACCATCCATCGAAGTAGGCGTGTTCAGATCGAAGTGAGAGTTGATGTCAAGATAGGCGTGTTCATATAGGAGTGGGCGTTACTGCCAAGGTAGGTGCGTTCACATCACGTCCGAAGGTCACCAATGTGGAGTATGAGTCTTTATCGACCTTTTTCTATATATAGGCACCCCCATCATAGAATTGAGTTAACATGTCTTATATACTAGTGAATTGGAATTGCATTTTTGTAATGGTAGACACATTACAAGCTTTTTTAGGCGAGAAGGTGAACAATACATCGCTGTTATCATGCATTTATGTTTAAAATGTTAGTGAACTTTGTTTAGAATAAATGGCAACTGTGAATGAATGTAATAAAAGTTTTTCTGAAAGACATCAATGAAGGCAAATTCATTGTCCTTCCATTGAAGGACATCAATCAGGGCAAACACCCTGATTGTCGATGAATCCATTGCAGATGGTGTTGAAGAAATGGTTAGCAGGAGTTTATATTCTGTTACTTTCCTCATTTAAAAATCGTACCACTGTATGCTCTTCAGTTCTAAGCGCTGTCATCTTTAACCAGTTACTATGGAACAATTGTATAGAATACAAGGTGCACTTCCTTTATAATTCTGAATAACGGCATTATGGTGTCACCTTTTCATAACTAATGTAATGGTGTTGCACTGCTATCGCTACTTTTTTTCTAAAGCAATCACATTTATTCACTTTTTATTTGGGCAACCCTTATATATGTTACACATATAAACTAGGGAGCCTAACTTCTATGTCACTGTGCTCTAGAGATGGCTAATATTTTCTGGAACAGGTATTTTGCGCCTGTTATTTAATCATACCTGTTATGAAAATAATAGGTTACTTCCAAGGGCCTGTTTCGAAATACTAGGTAAAATTTGTAATTCAATTATCTTGCAAAATTTTTTTTTATAATGTTTAAATTGTTTTTAAATTATCTTTGTACAGTTTAAAAATAGAAAAGATCAGGTTTTTATTTATGTAATTGATACAGGGCCGTCGCTAGACGTTGCGAGGGGCCCTACAAGTTTTCTATTTCTGCAAAATCTCCAATAAAGTAGATAGCTCTGAAACTAGTTAGATTTTTATTTAAATAATTCAAATAGATATATTTTTTCCAGTTTATTTCCAAAAAATGGACAAAATAACGAGTTACTTTGCTAAAATCAAATGTTTTTTCGCAGCTTATTTTCTAGAAATGTTTTTATATAGCTTATTTTCTCTAGTTCAATAGCTTGCATTTCTACTCAAAGTTTTTATTTTTTTTATTTTATTTTGCATGGTGCCACTAGAACACTACATTCAAGAACCATGCCTAGGCAATCTTGTAAATATTTGGAAGAAAACAAAATTCTACAATATTATTTATAACAAAATCCGCATATGAAACGTGAGGCACTCCACGAATTTCCCCCTCCTCGTGTCTTGAAAACTTTAAAACTCACCTTTTTTTCGGAAGGGAGAAACACAACCTTTATTGTTTATTTTAAGGTAAGCAATATGTTAGATTGTAGATTGAACAAATATTTAAATTAATAGATATTAAATTAGTATTTAAGTCAATTGCTTTACTATTCCACATTTTCAAAAATATTTTATATAACTAAATGCTATTAACCATTTTACTAATCTTACCCTAATTAGGATTTTATGACATTATCTAACACTAATGATGACTAACTGGGTATAATTTTAAGTACATTATTGTGAGAGGCAATTATAATACATTTATTTTATCCACATTGCAGCATTATAAAACCTCAGTTTTAACTAAAACTGAAAAAATTATAGATATAAGAAAAATTCGTGTTTTTTCCCTATCATCTAACATTACAATAAGAACAAATTGGGTAAAAACTTAGTTTATAGAGAATTAAAAATTTTGTGCTCATGCTAGCCAGTTGTAATTAAATATTTCTTTCGTCTATTTTAAAATAACACCTGATTTTTTTAGACCAATGAGAATATTTTAAAATCACATCATTTACCTAGACCAATGAAAATATTGAAAACCCATCACATGATTAAATTCTTTTCGATATAATTTTCTGAAATATCTTTCTTTTCAACTTGAGACACTGCCATTGAAACTTAACAAGTTTTATTGTGACTCAAAGTGCTAAAAAAACTGCTTTTTCTGTCATGGATTTCAACGTTTTGTACTTTGTTTTCATGGTTTTTTACTCCCTCTTCAGTTTGGTGTATTCATCTTTTAGTGACATTGTTTCATTCTTTCAGCTGAAATGCTTGTACGATCTCTTGTTTTGGATTTATGTTGGTACTAAGTACTCTTGGAAGTTGAATGGCTTTAAAGCCGAGATTGATTTATTTCAAAGGTTGAATTCAGTCTTTTACGAGTTGAAAGTTCTTTACTGGTTTCTTTACTTTGTTTACAAAGTCTTTTCAGTTTCCTGTTTTTGGGACATTTTAATGACCCTTTATGAACTCTACACTGCTCTGGATTTCTATTCCTACTTTGTTCCTTAGATATTTTTGTTCAATGTTTTGTTACACCATTAGTTCAATGCGAATTTATTATAATCAATTCGGTTTTCGATGGCTTAATGTCATTTCTATTAATTCTTAAAATATTTAGAATCGCATATTGGCTTTTGCCGATCTATTAGATTTCCTTACTTGAAAGTTGGTAAACTTTTAAGTAATTAAATGAATCTTAAATTTTCATTTCCCTAATTTCTCCTTCAGAGTAATTTTTTTCTTCCAGTTAGTACAAAATCTATTCACAAACCATAGATCCAATTTGGATTCTTTTAAATCCTTAGTTCATTTTTCGGTGACTGAATTTCATTTTGATTAAATTCTAAATTATTTGGAATTGTTCATAAGTCGTTGCCAATCAATTGGATTAGCTAATTTTAGCGTTGATAAGCTTTCCAGCAATTAAATGAATCTTGTATTTTTTGTTTTCGAAATTTTCTCGCAGTTTCTTTTTCAAGATTTCAAAAACTAATGTTTTTGCTGATTATGTATGTTTAATAAGTATTTTCGTTTCAGGTAACATTTAAACTAAAATGAAAATTAGTTCGAACTGGAATAGTAAAGTCACTCATATAGTAAATATTTTATTCATAAACTGGTATGTACCTTTAAAACTTTCCACTCATCGAATGACGAAACTAAAAACAAACTCAAAATAAATAAATAGTATTTGTAAACAACTTTAATCTAAACTACAGTAGATAAAATACAGTTCCCTTAGATTTTCATACTTATGTTAATATTAGAAAATTAATTCATAAAATGAACTCATAAGAAATATTAAATCTTAGTGTCTCGAGATTTATTTCACTCTTACCATGATTTCATATAGTTAAAATAGCTTAGTAGCAATTAGATTAATTTTCACAGTATTGCTCTTATTAAAGTATATTATTGTAGATTTTAAAATTTTTTCTATATATTTTTTATACTTTATTTTATATCTCTCTTCGTTGAAAAATGTGTCTTGTATGGTAAGCCAATTTAGTAACCAAAACCTTCCTAACCAAAAAACAATTATCGTTTTAAAACTTACTGAAAGTATTACGTACCAAAGTAGTTACCAGATTAAAATTATTAATAGTGCATTTTAAGGCAAACTGATTTAATAATCGAAAAATTCATATCGTATTTAAATTAAAAAGAAAAGATTTTATATCATAGTAGTACCATATGAATTTAGAATTGTTTATAATTATTAATAGTACGTTTTACAACAAACTGATTTAGTAACCAAATATTTCACATCGTTGTTAAACTTGCCAAAATTATTGCCTACTACA